TTGCCAAGCCTCCTAAAAAGCGCTGTTTAAGAGGGTACACTATCTCAACGTCATCTTCAACATATTTCTACTTCTCAGATATTTCCTTTTCCTACGTCTCTTACCCGGCAAAATGAACATTAAGCTGACAATATATCCACAGAAGCAAAGTAAGATTAGCAGTATCCAAACGTGTACGATAGAAAGATGTTTTCGAGTGGAATCTGCATACTTCTCTCGTAACATTGTCACAACAACCCACATATTCGTCATCTAAACAAAGGATAACTTTTTTTCAGACTTATAGTAAAATTCCGTCATCTCACCAATGTTTGCATGGGGATAAAAAATCTGGCGAAGAAATGCAGAGCACTCAATAACCATGAAAGGGGCATACTCATAAATACCTAAAACCGTAGATTAGTGATGATTTGTAAGTGTAATTCACATGTGCTCAAGCTAAAATGAACTGACTTCGACTACGATGATCAATGGCATGAAACGAGGGGAAGTGACAAACGTGAAACGTTCATGGGCGCCATCAAAAGGATACAGTTGAACTAAAAGCAACTTGACATCAAAACTTTGTTAGCTTTGCCGGACTCATTGAATAATTTTTCTCAATTAGGTGATCTAGAATTTTTCTCGAAACTTGATTTATACATGCCTGGCCGACCTATGACTGCTCGTAATAAAGTTCAAGTGTCAATTTCTGTTCCTGCGAAGTATTCGATTGAATTAACCGTGCTAATAGCGCTTTTACATGTTCAATTCAGAGAAAAAACTGTTGTAATGAGATCTGCAGTGTAGGCGAGAGCGATATTAAAACACGATAATAAAAAACGTGCATTTCCCAAGTTCACTTCATACTGTTAAAATCTGATCTGTTTGTTTAACACATTCAAAATCGCACTGTAACTTAACCAATTTTCGATTGATTCCGCTTTCCGTTGTTTTGGTAGCGAAACGAGCGATTTCTTAGCGTGCAAAAGTGCTCAAAATCCTTCGCAGAGCCTTCGTTAATCAAGGCTTCATGTAACTTCGTCATGCAGAAATGAAAGCAAAACAAAAATGCTATCTTTTTTTTAAATTTTTCTATGATGCGAGAAGCACTTCCTCTAATTTCTTCTTCCTCGATTAATATAAGAAACGCTTTGTCTTTAGAACTATCTCTTTGATATTGCTGATATCATGGGATCTGTGCAAGAATCTCTGTTTTTTTTTGACAGTAGAATAACCCGCCTTTTCGCTACAAAAACGAGAATAATGCTCATATGTAGCTGGCTGCATATCAAAGGACAAATCGGTGTTATTACAACGTACCAGCAAATTTTTCCATAAACATAACAATAGCGGCCAATGTGAGTGCATGATATAACAAAATCACTGTAGATATGATAACGACATCCCATACGATAGCCATATGAAAAGCACGCGCTGATGCTAATTTGATCATTCCACCTGTGGAAACACTAAAACAAATAAGTTTAGCTATATTGCTCAGCGAATATTGATATTATGTTAATAGCGAAGTTTTTAGTTTATTTGTTTGAGTTTGAGCGGATAACATGATGTACCAGTAGTCCATCATCTAGTATACGGTAATGATAAATGCATGATACA